GCTAATATTTGCAAAAAAAAAAAAAAAAAAAAAAAAAAAAAAAAAAAAAAAAAAAAAAAAGCTCGACATTACTGCGTATTCCGGATAACTATCACACCCTGTAGTGCGTCACGTTCCAGGCACTCTACAATTTTGTCGTGGTCGAAGGTGAATGATTTGAGCGAATGGTCTGTGTTAATAACCCTGAGAGGAGGAGAAAAGGAAAAGAAAGAAACAAAAAAAAAATGATAATTAGGCCTATCCGGTGTGAGACGCATCGTCACAAGCGCTACTATGCACAATGTGCTATGGCTGCATGCACATTTCGAGGTCATCGATGCTTGTCCATTGTTTTCTCCTGCCTCGTGCAACCACCACAACCTCGTGCATTTGCGCATGTGCAAGGAGTGGTCCACATTGGACGAGTTAATTCCTCCGCAGTATGCCTTGTACATTGCCCTCTTCTGCAGCGCGACCTTTTTTTTTTTTTCTTCTTACCCCAACAAGGCTTTCAACACCGAGGTACTCTTCTCTTCGTCCAGCGATTCCCTAACATGGAAAAAAAATAAAATAAAATAAGCGAGATGAGAATGTCTTCGTTCATTTGTTCTATATTATATATAAAAACTTCAAAAAAAAAAAATCACTTCACAAAGCATGCACCCAACAGAACGCATATGTGCAGACATGCATTACAAAATTCTTTCATGTAGCTACGAAGGAGTAATACAATTGAATGTCATAAGGAGACTCCATTACTCTCTTATTCTTTGTTGGGACTTTTTCTTCCATTTTGTTTTCGCGCTATATATGTATTTATACCAATGAAGGTAACAAATGGGATTTATAAAAAAAAAAAATAAAATAAAATAATAAAAAATAATAATTAAATGAAGGAAAAGAGAAGAATGCATTAACAAAAAGAAAGGAGAACAAACGATACACCAGTGAAGGGCTGCACACAATCGCACGTGCAGCGTTACACATGCGGAGACACAGATAAAGAACCACACATGCAGGGCCTTAGAATTGGGGCTACAATTACAGAAACAAACAACAAAAAAAAAATTAACGAAAAAAGAACAAAAAAAAAAATGTTTAAGCAGGGGGAAGAAGTGGAGCTGAAAAGGAAGCGACGTGAAAAGGGAACAGGAGACGAAACAAAATTTGAAAAAGCACAGTAACACACACCACAAGGTAGAACAGATGGCAGAGCATGCTATGGGTCTATTTATCTCTGAGTGGAATCATTGTAGTTGCCTGAGGTTTATACTTTTCATCGATCTAGCAGTGACCTGCTCAAATAAACCAAGGCACATACGTTCCGTAACGTACCATAAGTACACTTATAGGCTTAGCGGCATATGTGATGAGCCACATGTGCTTTGCTATGCATATGAATTACACTCTGCCTTTTCTTTTGTTTTTTTTTTTACATTCCCTTTTAGTTAATTCAAGGTTTAGGCCACTAATGGGAATTTATCGCCAATCATTTCTCTGAAATTTTTTTTTTTCTTTTTTTTTTTTTTTTTTTGTGCCACTGCTTTACACTGTGTTGTTGCCCATTTTGATTAACTGCGTATTCATATCTGTATCTTATCTGTATCGTATTTGTAACGTAGCTTTTTTTTTTTTTTTTCCCTCAACTTTGCACGAGCTTTGGGTGGGTCATTCACTAGTTTACTTGGCCAGTTGTGGCATTACTCTCTGAGGGAGAGGTGTTCGACTCTCATTAGTTTTTCTGTGCAGCTACCCCCCCTTGAACCTTTTACTTTCCTTTCAATTGCCTTTTTCCTGCATCTACACCTAAGTTGCCTTTACCCATATGAACAGGGTAGGGGGGATTGCACATTCGTTGCGCTCTGCTGTCGTTCGTTCTCTCTACTCATTTGTTCATTCTTTTTATTTCCCCCCACTTTTTTCATTTTATTATTACTTATTTATTATTTTTTTTTTATTTCGTGCTAGTTTTATCTTACCATGCTTTGTTCCCCCAGGAGACTTCCACCGCCCTTTTCGCACCTCTAACTTTTGTTTTAGCTCCAACATTCGTGATTCTCTTTTTTTTTTTTTTTTTTTTTGCCCTACGATGCACACCTGTGCCTTGGGAGAAAAGGAAAAGAAAGAAAAAAAAAAAAAAAATACTAGGGAGGGTGTAGAAAGTAACTTATGAATAGATGCAAATTAGGGTTATATCTTAAACATACAGGACGTTAGTAAGATTGCTTGTTCTACTTTTTTTTCCTCCTTTGTGTTTTTTTGTGTAACCCCAGGAGTGAGTTTTCCGTTTGGGTTCAACCCGTTGTGCTTGTACAGTTAGGGAAGGGAGGACAGGAAGAGCAGAAGTGGTGGTAAGCAGGGGGGTGGGAAGAGGGCAGGTACCGGAAAAGCAGCAAAAGGTTGGAGCGCTCCACAGACTCGTAGGGGAGAGAGAGTGCACGTGAAAGATTTGTGCGCAATTTAGACCCCCCGCAATACCCCAACCCTAACAAGAACGAAGACGCAACGCAAAATGGTGAAGTACTGCAAACGGTTTTGCACCTCAGACGACTCGAAAATAACGTCCGCCCTGGAGTTAAATAAAATTAAAATTGAGGTAAGGGTGCGGCACTTGGCCCCAGCGCGTTGGTATGGGGAGATTTGTTATCTGCACCCCCGCCCAACTAAACCCACGCGTGTGTGTGTTCTTGACCTGATCTGTCGAGTGAGAGGCCACAGAGGAAGGAGTTCACCGCCTGCGCACAGCCACGTCGCGAACGCGGAGTCACCTCCCTAACGCATAAACAGATCGCCGTCGCGCCCCCCTCCCTCCTGCAGGGCTACATGCGAAACATAAAGATAGAAGACGTGAGCACACTGAGGTGCGTAGAAACGTTGGACTTGAATAACTTCTACCTTCTGAACCTTTACCTTAAGGATGTGTATTTTATTTTTTTGCACTTCGTCACTCACTTGACAGATGAGGAGGAGCAGGTGTTACTGTACAGAGAAAAGGAGAGAAACGCTTTTCTCTTTAACACGGAGATCAGGTGCTACGACTCCTTCTTGGAGCAGGTGAAGAGGCTCAGGTCGGGGCGCAGAGCCCTTGGCCCAGGGGAACAGCCTAACAAGGGGGAAGCTACCGAGGGGGGCGCAGCTACGGAGAAGGGTACCTTAAACGGGGGACAATCTACCCTGGCGGAGACCAGCGGCGCTGCCTCCAACCATGCCGGTGCAGCCTCGTCCTGTGTGAACAACCATGCCGGTGCAGATCTGCCCTTTGTGAAGAACGAACCGAAGAAGAACTGCCCCCGCTTCGAATACACAAACGAACTTTTCTGTGAACTCTACTCAGAGGACGAAATAGCCCTTTTAAATGTTGACAAGGAAGTGAACGCCCGAGTGAAAAAGGAAAATATATTTGAACGATGCACTCGCATTAACAATAACATTATTATATATATGCTTTCCTACCTGTACTTCAACGACAAGCTGAAGCGACTTCGGCTGGACTACAACTTTCATTTTATTTTGTTTAAGAGAGGCGGAGGAAAGGGGCGTGGTAGAGCGACTACCTCCTCTCCGGGTGTGGTGGAAGGAGAAGGGGAGACAAGGGAGGGTACTACTACCCTCAGCGAACAGACCCGCCTCACACAAGAACACCTCTTCCTCATTTACCTGTCCCACTTCAAGTTTTACATCGTGTCCTTTTTTTTGTACTCCTATGTAAAGTTCAAGGGGAGCAGCACTTCGAGGAGAAAAAGTGCTATGGCATTTCCAAGTGCGCCTGGGAGGACAGCTACAGGAGCCGCGCGAAGTGCCCCCCCTCCGGACAAGGAACAGTTCCTGTATAACCACGAAGATAATTGGAAGAACGTCGCAAGTGTGTCCTCATACATATCTAACTTTTTGAATAAGGTGTTGCATGACATAGACCTCGCGCTGAAGACCAATCGATCTGCTTCTAAAAAAGATGCACGAAGGGGGGAAAGTGAAATGGGTTCATGTACTACCGAAATGATTAATGAAATTTTGAAGAACAAACTTTCATTTAAGCAGGTCACTCTAAGTCACCTGGACTTCTGCCTCTCTTGCATAGTCCTCCTCAACTTGTACTCCCCAGATGGAATACAGTCCTGCCTTTACTACGGCACCACCTACGCGCACGTCTGTCACACGTTCGAGAGGTATTCGGCGTCGCTTGCCCTGTGGAGGGAACGTAAGTATACATGTGTACACGCGACGTGGGCGCCTCATAAAAAGGGGGGACGCAAACAAATCGGTGCTGTTTGCATTTATTTATTTATTTATTTATTTATTTATTTATTTATTATTTTTTATTTTTTTTTATTTTTTTTTTTTTTTCCCGTGCAGTTCAAAGAGCAAACTACTTCTGCTTCTTCGAGGGGATAAAACACCTTTCCTTTATCGAGCGGTGCTGTCTGTTCCCCAACCTAAAGCGAATTCGCCTGGACTACCTCTACAGCATTTTATTTTCAGCTAACAACCGGAACAGTTTTGCCTTAAGTATTAGCTTCATAGACCAGTGCATAGCTATACATAATGAGGACAGGACTACGTACATGTTAGAATGCTTGGGCATGCACATGAAGGAAGGGCGAATACATTTTAACATGTGTAGCAGGAGAGTGCAAGGAGGGAAGTCTCATGATGCTCCGAGGTGTGCTATGCTAGACGACAAGCAGAGCTGTGTGGAACTCTTTTTGAAGAAATATCAGGACAGGATAGAAGACTACGTGTACATCCTTTATAATGAAAAGAGCTTCAACCGGGACAGGTGCTACCGCAAGTTCGACGTCCCGGCCATGGTCTGCTGCGGCACGCACCACGGGGAAGAGGCGTAACGGTGGAGTGACGAAGCGGTGGAGTGACGAAGCGGTGGAGTGACGAAGCGGTGGAGTGACGAAGCGGTGTGAAATGTCTCCTGCTTTACCCTCTTCGCTTCTCCGCTACGCCGCTGAACCCCTGAACTCTGCTTTCATTCGTACGAGAACAACGCCGCTGAGGCTGCTACGGGAAGTTGTATACCCGTTATATCACAATAAAAAAAAAAAAAAAAAAAAAAAAAACGGCGAGGGAAAGACGCGTGTACACGGATTGTCCCCGCGAAGAGGAGGCATAAGGGGGAGGGAACACGTCGCTGACAACACTGTAAAAAAAAAAAAAAATGCACCACAAAGTGTAGCTCTTTTTTTTTATTTTTTTTTTTGCTGTTTATTTTTTTTATGTTAACAAAGGGTATCTTCCCTTTTCTCCAGATGGGATGAGGGGGAGGGAATGTTCGAAATTTTAGAAGCAGGTGAAAAATGTGAAATGTCCCTCATGAAGTATCCCTCGTTGCTGCCCCTACTACAGGTGTCTTCAGTGCCACCTGTGACGTGGGCCCAGTGGGGAGTGGGCAAATCAGGGGGGGTCCTGGGCGCAGCCCGCATGTTGTCTCCATAAAGCCACACGTAGTTCACCACGTACGGGTCGTTTATACTGTTATGAAAGAGGGCTTCCTTTTCTGCCATTGGTCAGTTGGTCCTGAAGGGGTTTGCACAGTCAATCCGTGTCACGCTCGGAATAGGAATCGCTCAACTCGGTGCAGGAAAAGAGAGTTCAACCTGTAGTAGGTGTGTGTTTTTTCCCACGACGAATCCATGCAAGTGTGTACGCACCGTCTCAGCGGAGACATATAATTACAAGGGAACTCTAAAATTGTGTCGCTTTTCTCCCACCAAAAAGGATCAAATTTCTCTCTTCAACTTGCGCAGCGGCGTCACAGAGTAAAAAAAGACGCACGTGTTAAGTTTATTTCCTTCCACGTGACAGTTGTGTAATGTCTTCAAGGACCTCTCCAGCGTCACTAAATGTATAAGGTAAATAAAAAAAAAAAAAATTGCCAATTGAGCCACAAAATGTGATGTCATTTGAGTATTTTTCTTTTTATGTAAGTTTGTCCCGTGGAATGCTGCAATTTCTCCCATAGACAGCCTTCTCCAAAAAAAAAAAAAAAAAAAAAAAAAAATCGCGAAAGAGGAAAGGGGAAAAAAAAATACAAAGACCGAAAAAAAAAAACACACGTGCAGGGAAACCACAAAAATAAATGATGTGAACATATGTGTGCACAAGAGATGCCACATCTGTGAAACTACTCACCGACTAGGCGCCGCTGTCCATTTAGGAGAAGAAGAGGAACAGCAACAACGGCTTGATAGAACACCTCGGAGAAAAGCCCCATGTGTTATGTACATGTGGAAAAGCACCTCCCTTTTCTGTTTATATACACATCCTTTTACCTACCCTTATTCTCCCCAACCGTGAAAAAAAAAAAAAAAAAAAAAAAAAAAAAAAA